CAAAAGAAAGAGGTAGTAAAATTATGCAGAACGAAAAATGACACTGACACTACCTATTGAGGAGAACGAAAAATGACACTGAAGATGGCACAACGCCGAAACCGGTTTGTCTCCAAACCAAATCTGACAAAGGATGACGGAAAATCGTTCCACAATACGTTTATAAATCCTCTTCAAAACTTGTTCGATTTGTAGAATCGGATGAAAAATATTTAAGCTATTAATACATAAGTGCATCAAGTAAGAAAATAATGGTTTTCATAGTATAAAAAATGGAGGGCTCAGAAACTATACGGGACCTATTTTCATGTTCTACTCGACATTGTACATACCTACAACCTACACTAGGTTTTGTTTCAGGTGTATTTCATGACTTTTTTTGTAGCACCGTGTAATCGATGGCTTGAGAGACAAGACTACAAGCATACTGGTGTTTAGTGAATTACAAAGTTGGAAAAACTAAAAAAAACTACTTCCGCAATGTGAAAGACTGGTAAATAGCAGCAGCGTTAGGAGAAGTGAAGCAACAGCAAACAGTGCGGAGGCTTCGTTGAGGTGCTATAGTTGCTCGCGGTATGGGCATTTCTCAATAGACTGCAAAGAGAAGCGACGCACACCAGGTTCCTGCTTAAAATGCGGAGAAAATGAACATCAATACAGGAACTGTCCTATAAAGACGGTGGCAGCGCTGGAAGAAGACAACGATGACCGAGAGACAGTGTACTTTAGAGAAATGGTCAATTTTGATTTCAGTCAAAGTCGTAGGAAATCACAATGTGTGAATTTTTTCTCTTTGCTCGACACCGGCAGTCCATATAGCTTCATCCAATACTCTCATTCCAAGTGTAGTGAAGTGTTGTAGATCTCAAGTTAGTTCGCCACAATTGAGAAGCGTTGGAAGATCTAGAATTAAGCCTGAAGGACGAATTTCCGTTTTAATTAGATTTAAAAAAGTTATAAAAGCATTAAAGCTTTCTATACTAGGATGGTGATTACCTTTTTCGCTACTGCTAGGAAGACACTTTCTTAGCGTTTTTTGAAATTTTCCAATGTAAACACAAAACCCCTTTAATTAATAAAGTTGATACCTCTGAATTACTAAAAGAATCTGAACTAATTTCGAATGTATAGGAAAATATACAGGTAGAGTGGAATGAAATATGCAATATAATCAGTAGCGTGGAGAAGAAGGAGTTAGTTGACATAAATCCGAAATTACCTTGAGTTTAGACGGATAACTTAAGACTTTTGGATAAAAAGTACTTACGTACAAAAACAAAGTGAAGACCTTCCGAATATAGATTATGAAGCCAAACTTACGCCTACGTCACACATTCCAACCTTCTGCTCACCGAGACGCCTATCGTTCGCTGAGAAAATCGAAGTTGGCCGCATTATAGATGAATTGCTTAAGAAAAATATTATTCGACACAGTGACTCCCCTTACGCATTGCCTATCGTACCCACAAAGAAGAAATCAGGCGAGACTATAATGTGTATTAATTATAAAAACTTAAATAATGCCCTCAGCACTATCCGTTAATTAAAGAATGTTTGGAATATCTGGGTGAAAATAGACTTTTTACACTTTTAAATTTGATGCCAGGATTTTTTCAAATAAAAATAGCGGAGGACTCAATAAAGTACACTTCGTTTGTAATACCAAATGGTCAGTGCGAGTTTCTAAGGGCCAGTTTTTCAGTGCAAGTTTAAACTCAGATTAAGTAAACTGAGTTCAAGTTGAACAGCTGGCTGACATTTGATTGGCTGATCTTAGTTTAAACCAGCCAGATCGGGCGTTTAAACCACGGCCGTGCACTGAAAAACTGGCCATAAGAATGC